CCCCAAAACCCCAAAACCCCAAAACCCCGATAGATAAGATAAATAAGATTATGTGTAAATTACAAATTTCAAAATTTAATAATAAAGTAGAGATTTAAAATGAAAGGCAAGAAAACCTTAATAAGATTATGCTTCTTGATCGCTTTAAAGGAAGCGTTATTTCTAATTCTTGCACCGTTTTTCCCAGAACAAATGCGAGAGAAGAACGCTCCTGATCATCTTTATGCTCCTCTATTCACGTAAGTTCCCATTACTCCAATGATCAAAATCTTAATGAATGTGCATTTAGTTCCTATTCGTTTTTCTTTTTCATTTCATGCTTGTCTACTGGAAGATTTATAATGCCCTAGCTAGGCAGGTCTTTAACTCTGCGACTGGGTATTTTACTTCATGTGGTAGCATGCGGATGCTTCCTTCTAATATATAAAATTGAATCTTTGTAAGTGCTGAATGCTAATTCGGGGCAGACCTCTAGCAGACTATAATACAAGTTAACTTTATCTTATCTTAACTTACGATTTGTTTGTTTAGGAAAGTATTTTTAATTTTGGGTTTTACCGGGAGAATTTGTGAAGGTATTGGAGCAGGCTTACTCTAAACTGCAGGTATAGATATTTATCATTATTGTATATAACTCTATAGCTTACAGTGAGTTGATGCTATAGTATAAGGATGAGTAAAATATGGTAGTGGGCTATTTATCATTTTCAGGAGGTAAATATCCAATAGTAATTTTGAGATAACTTTATAATAGTTTTCGGAAATATGCTGGGAATGATATTTTCCTCGTTCCTATCTACAATGGTCGGAGGCCTTGGTCCCTTTGCTTTGTTTGGTAAACTTATATAACTTTTACCTCTTCATTTAGGCTGTCTGTTTTTTATATTTGCCTTGCTGTAGAATCACATTATTCACTTTGTGGAATTTGAAGACCATTCAACAGAGATATTTAACATTCAAGTTACCAATATTTATTAGCAGCCCTTCATTACTCATTAGTACTCTGTCAAAAGATACTCCTCCTCCTCTCTACTAGAAGAGGAGGCCGCCAGCAAAAATATGATAAGCAATAGTGATAATCAAGGGAAAGCAAAGAAAAAGAAGAAGTATGACAATGTGAACTACAGAGAAGTGTTAAAGAACCGTAGGGCAATATTTGGATTTTTCAGTATAGCTCTAAGTTTGTCACTGTGGACATTCATCGATACTACTCTTACTAATAAACTATAGCTTGATTTTAATCTGACAGCGAATGTTGTTTGTCTTTTCTATAGTATTCAGTGTGCCGGGTTTCTTATGACTTCTCCATTAATGCATAAATTTATCTAGAGATCAGATCCCATGAAAATGATAATAATTGCTTTTATGCTCTAAGGAGTGGCAGTGTTCCTTATGGGTCCATCTTAAAAGCTGAATATACCAAACAGAATGATATTCACAGCAATAGGTCTAGGAATTGCAGGATTTAGTGCACCATTTATAACAATTCCTAGCTATCCTGAGCTTAGACATGCCATGATAAACAATGAAGATGGAAAGAGGTATGATCCTGACTAGCTGAGCAATATACTTTCTGGATTATTCAATTCAGCCTTCTCACTTGGAACTATAGTTGGTCCAATAACTGCTTCATATATCACTTTGGCTACTAACTTCAGAAACTGCTGTGATATAATTGCAGGGACAACAGTAATTTTCGCACTACTCTACCTCTTGGTAGTTTACATTCCTTACAGGTTAAAATCATACAGAGAAGAAAAATTAAGAGATGAATAGCATAAATAACAACTGGTTGAAATGTAGTCATCTACTAATCCAACAGGAGGTGTGTGATAAGATAAGCTGCAATTGTATCAAAGATCCACTTTAGAGTAGCACTTATCTTTCAATAAACTAAAAATATAATATCGATAAGAGCAGAGCAAGAGCCACTGCTGTTTTGAGCGTGTTTGTATATTTAAAATTGATATCACATTGAATAGATATTGTGTCATGGGGTTTTGGGGTTTTGGGGTTTTGGGG